CCTCTACTTGGCCAGAGTTTGGTTTACCTCCTAACTACTTTCCACCTCTTGCATCTGCTGCTATGGTTGGTCAGACTGGTTTTTCAAGCTCTCGTCCTTGCCGAGCCCGGACCTGTGGTCCACACTGTTAACCAGACTGTCCAAGCTCCCTTTGAGAACCCTCCCTATGGGTACAATGCTGTCGGATCTCACGGGAAAGACCATGAAGATTTTGTTGAGCCTGAGATTACCCGTGAACAGTTTCAGATCATAAATAAGAGACTCCAATCTGTCGAGGGTACTGATTTCTTCAACGTAGATGTAGATAATATGTGCCTAATTTCTAGTCTTGTTTTGCCTTCCAAATTCAAGACTCCTGAGTTTGTGAAGTATAAAGGTCACTCATGTCCAAGAACCCATCTAGTTATGTACTTCCGAAAGATGGCAGCTCACACCAACAATCAGAAGCTGCTCATCCACTACTTTCAGGATAGTCTGAGTGGTGCTTCTCTCAAATGGTATATGAACTTAGAGCATAACAGCGTCTTCTGCTTCCAGGATCTTGCCAATGCTTTTATGAAGCAATACAAATACAATTTAGACATGGCTCCCGATTGCCGTCAACTTCAAAGTATGTCTCAGAGTGAAAGAGAGTCGTTCAAGGAATACACTCAGTGTTGGAGGGAGTTAGCTTCCCAAGTTGAACCTCCTATAGCAGAGAAGGAACTAACAGGAATGTTCATGGATACTTTGTATCCTTTCTATTGGGAAAAGATGATTGGGAGTGTCTCTTCAAGCTTTACAGATCTGGTGACTATTGGCCAAAGGTTAGAAGAAGGTTTGAAAACTGGTAAGGTATCTAAAGCTGCCGAATCTTCTAGCGGGGTAAAGAAATCCTATGGGAATTTCTAGAAGAGGAAAGAGGATCAGACCAATGCTATCATGACTGAAGCAAGAATGCCTCGCCATGGACCTCCATATGTTGATCATCATGTTGTTGCCACTGTTGTTGCTCCACAACCAGCTCAGACTCCTCAGCGTCCCGTTGTTAGACAGAACCAGTATCGAAATAGGAATCAATTTGATCTTATTCCCATGACTTACACAGAACTATATCCTGACCTAGTTCGACAAAGGTTGATCACTACAAGGGTTTTACCACTCCTCCTAATCCTCCTCCAGATGTATTTAAGGCTGATCTCTAGTGTGCTTTTCATGAGGGTGCCCTAGGCCACGACTTGGAGCATTGTTTTGCACTGAAAACTAGAGTGCGTGAGTTGGTTAGAGCTGGAATACTTGATTTTGAGGATAGTCATCCGAACGTCCAAAAAAATCCTTTTCCAGTGCATCAAAAGTGAAGCTTCGGCCTGACCCCAGTGGATTATTTTCCCAAACGCCAGTAATTCAGACAAGACTGCTCATCTTTGTACTGATTTAGTCACTAGGCCTTTTGTTTCTCGTTGTTTGTACTTTCCTTATTTTTATATTAGTTGTTTGCCTTAAAATTATATTTGTATTTTCATACCAATGAAATGAGCATTGCAACTTTCGATTTCAATTCATTTTGTCTATTATCTGCACTTCGATGCTTTATCTTTCAAAAAACTTACTTGTCCAAAATTTTGATATGCAAAGATTGGAGGGAGGATGATGAAAATGTTATACCCATAACTGTCGTACTCATATTTTTAGGCGTCCCGCCGTGGACAAGTTTACTTTTTACCCTAGCATTAGGATAAGGAGTCGCCGCACTCCGTATAAGTTTCCGTCGTGGAATGTTTTACACCTTTTCAATTCAATTACAACGTAGAAATAGGAGTCGCCACACTCCACGTAAGCACTTCCCTAAAAACGCTTATTCCCCGTTGAAACCTTGACCACCGTCAAGAAGATTCGCTTTCTCCCTTTCGAGGGGAACTACGATTACTCTGATTCCATCCCCTACCCAGGATACGTAGGCACAAGATGTGAATCTTGGCGAGTAAACTTAGGACTAACCCTTAGGTCTCTTTTTCACCTTTAACCCTTAGCATATACCCTAAAGCAGATAATCAAGCAAAATAGTAAATTTTAAACAAGAGGTTCCTGTAGAGTACTACAGAAGTTTGGGGTGCTAATACCTTTCCTAGGCTTAACCAACCCCTTACCTAGATCTCTCCCACGCATTGTTTACAATGCAAAAAGTAGGTTTTTCCTTTCTTTGATCTTTCAAATTAATTAATAATTTGATATCCTATTCTCACCGCAACACATACCTACAGAAAGTTCTCGACAAGTTTGATATGTCGAATTTAAAGGCTATTGTGACTCCGACAAATTCTTAATTTAAGCTTAGTACTACTCAAAGTCCGAGTACTGAAGCTGAAAGAATCTATATAAGTAGCATTCCATATGCTAGTATAATGGGTTCTTTGATGTATGTTATGGTTTGTACGAGGTCAGACATAGCATATGGGGTGAGCCTTATAAGCAGGTATACGACAAATCTTGGAAAGGTGCACTGGCAAACTTTAAAGTGGATTCTCAGGTACATAAATGGATCTCTGGGTCGAGTCTTGATTTATGGTAGAGCATGTGGTGATGATAGTAAAGTCGAAATCGAAGGGTTTGTTGACTCTAATTATGCATGTTATATGGATTCCAGAAAATCTATTTATGGATATGTGTTCACTATGTTCGGCATGGCAATCAGTTGGAAAGCGACGCTTTAGAAGGTTGTTACCTTATCAACCACTAAAGCAGAATATATTGCTCTCACTGAAGCTGTGAAAGAAGCATTATGGCTTGAAGGTTTTGCAAAGGAGCTGAAACTTCAAGGTCGAGTTATCATTGTTAAATGTGATAGTCAAAGAGCAATACACCTGTCACAGAATTCAGCCTATCATGAGCGAACCAAGCACATCAATGTAGGGTTGCACTTCGTCAGAGAGATAATCGAACATGGAAAAGTCCAAGTGCTGAAGGTTTCGACGGATGACAATGTCGCTAATATGATCACCAAGACATTGTCGAGTTGCAAATTTTTTCACTATATGCAGTTGATAAAGCAGCATAACGAAAGCTAGTTTATTCCCTGATTGTTGTAAATTTTGTTCTAAGGTGGAGATTTGTGAGATATTAGATCAAACTCTAGTGTTATCGACCGGGATGTGTCGACTAGGATAGCTTTCATGATTCGGCAGGAGACAAGCATTAAGTGGAAGATTGTTCACATACTGATATCGAAATATTTACATGTTGTAGTCGAAGTCAGTTCTAATATGTAGTGTTGAATTATTATGTCGAATTGAGCCTTGTGTTAAAGATCCAATTGTTTATGTTAGCTTGCTATTTAAGTTACCTTGTAATAGGCTAGATCACTCAGGTTATTGAGTGAGGCCAATTGTGTTATTCACTTGTAATCATTTGTAATATTGAGTAAGTGAATAGAAAACAGTTTGCCCAGATCATTCTTCCATCTTTCTTCTTTATATTTTCTTCTTTCTCTCTTTAGAAACCTAATTGTCTCGTTGTTCATCAAAAAACTTCGTTTCTCATTCAAGAAAATGTTGAAAGGTATCGTTTGTGACCGCAACATACAAAAAGAAAAATTAACATCTAATTCAAACAAATATAAATTTCTTCAACCATTTTTCATTATAGTGTATTATCCACATTTGAATACAATTTATTTAATTAAGTATTGATGTCTTTACAATAATTTTAATCATGTTTTGAGGGAAAAAAATTTCAGAATTATTAGGACTGGAATTTAATGTTCTCGTGAAACTTTTAAACATATTTTGTTAGCTTTTGGTTAGGCTGAATATGAGTCGAGTCGAGTCGAATTCACCTTAGTTCGACTCGACTTGTTAAAAAAAATTTAACTCAAATATCAATTCGAGTTTAACACGAACTTTCTTTAAGCTCAAACTCGACTCGCCATAAGTTTACGAACAATTCGGTTCAACTCGTTAAATTCATTTCATTAGATTTAGTTCACTCGTTTCACAAAATCTATTTATTTATATATTTAAAATTTTAAATTAACCTTTTTTTAAAAAAGAAAATATTGAAATAAAATAAAAGTTATTAGATTGAAATTTAACTATATATAAAAAATTTATTTATTTAAAAATTAAGCAACTTTCAAAAGATACATTTGAAAACCTAATTCAAAAACTATTAAATTGGAGTTTAAATTTATCTCAAAAATCTATAACTTCGTCTAAATATTTAAAAAATTAACAAAAAAAATTACTAAAAATTGATAATTTTCTTCGCGAAATAATTACACCACTTGTAATCTTTATTACACATGTTATTTTAACAAATAACATAATGTCTCCGACAAAGATAACTCGAAATACAATTGTCAATTTTATTTTCATAACTAGTTTAAAAAAAACAACGTAGATAAAATTAAGATTTAGAGTAAATCTTTAAACTTACTCTTAAAGACAATATAATCATTTTCATATATAATCGAGTTGATTCATGAGGCTACCAAGTCGAACTATGTATAGTTTAAATTCAACTCATTTAGTTAACGAACTTAAATTTTCGTTTATATTCAGCTCATTTGATTCATGAACATAATTCAATGATTTAATTGTCAAACCGAGTTCCAAACTATTTTCAAATTTGTTCGTTTCATTGGCAGCCCTACTTTTGATTTATGCTTTTTCGGTCTTCATCTTTATTTGTACGGTGATTTGTTTTTCTCCACATAATATAAGTTATGAACTTTATAGAGACAGGATAATCTAATTCAATACAAAGACAAATTTTCTATCAATTGATATAATTGAATCGTCTGATTCAATCATGTCGACCAATGACCTAGTGATCTAGCACCTCTTACCAAATTCATGGTTGAGTTGAATTTTATAACATTGTGAATATTTCCAGAAGGTAAAGAATGGTGTAGAGGGAGGGCACATTCCAATAAGATTAAACACTATATATTTCTTTTTGGTCAGAACTATCATATGCAACCGGTTCACATTGGCGACTAACAATCTTCCCCAATCAGTTAGTAACTAACCTCCGGAATCTGCTGCTTTTGGATTCATATTTAAGACTCTGCAAGGCTTATTGTCATGGTTAAACTCGGTTTCCGGAACACCTATTGATGAACACTCTTCAATTTGATAATCTCTCTCGTCAACCAGAGATTTCATGTATGAGCATGGCCTTTCGTCAGAATCAATATTAGGGGCAGGCTCTTGACCAGAACCAAATGGCAGGTCCAAAGATGCAGAGCCAGGTGGGTGTGTTCTCATCTGCACAGATCTTAGAAGTGCAGCTCTTCTTAAGTCAGCTGAGTGGCATATATCGCTAGGAGATGATGGGAAGCGGCCATCGGAGTCTGAGCTTCTTTGACGAGGCTGGGAGCAAGTAACTGCTGAGACTGGAAAGCCATGAGAAGAAGCACTTAAACTTGTGGAAGGCGCTGAAGAAAATGAGTTTTGTTGCCTTTGGTATCTACATGGAGAAACTGGACTACTCGGACGGCTATCCAGATGGGTTAAGCAACTATGGACTGGAGTCTCGCAAAACCTTGAGTCGTCCGAGTCTTCTGACATTGGCGAATATTGCAAAGAAATATCATCCCTAAAAATAATAAAACAAAAGAAACTATCTTAGATAGGATTAGTAGCATTAGGAAAATTGAATGCTATATTACTACTCTGCTATGACAGCCAGAACTCAAAAAGTCAAAGGTTCAGTTAGTTGAGCTTTAGAGCATATAAGTAAGGCTATGCCATAGATTCATTTGCGAGAACGACACACTGATGCCAACTTAATATTTTAAAAAATATGGTGTATGATGCACAAATAAAGGCTCTATTTTGTGCCTATATATTTTGGAGTTTGTTGCCAACGAAACCACAGTGAGAAACTTCAGTGGTCATTTTCATTTTGGAATAACAAAGGGATCATCATTCTCAACACTTACGCCTATAAAGTATAAAGCTATAAGAAAGATTTAGAGTTAAATGATAGTAATTATATTACTTTCCCGATACTGTATATTATGATATCATTTTATCTATGAAACCAATTTCACCTATTAAGAAAAAACTCAGGTTATTTTAACCAAATAAATACATAGATCAAAGTGAAGAAGAAAAGAAGACAAAAAACGCATAATGCCGCGTATCACTGTGGTGATAATAGTTTACACATCAAACACAGAGCTAATCAAAGAACTTATGCACCATTAAACAATTTTTTTGCACGCATAAAGTGAAGATTTGAATATTTTCAACCAAATCTCAACAGGAAGGAAACGGATAAAGCAAAGAAAATCAAACAAGATTATATAAAATGTAACGACGCAACTGGCAATAACTCACTCTACAATCAATAAAAAGCTAACTCATAAGGCACATTTTTGCTCCTATTCATTATCAAATAATCAGTACCGATAAGCTACACAAGAAGCCCCATTCATAGAAATAATTGTTGATATTCTTCCATGACTTTACCTGAGAGAGAATGCAGTTTCAGACCTTGCCGGAGATTCCATGAGATTATCAGGAAGTGAGTCTCCAACTGTCAATCCATTAAGACTCGACGCCATTATCTGGATCACCAAACAAACAAATAAGCAACTCTAGTAGCAATTTAATCAAAAATCTAAATGATCAAAGCAAGCAAGTAGATACTTCAACTCAGTTACACAAACAACTAGAAGCAATTTACAAAATACCCTCAAGCAAAGTCTCAATTTTGAACCATATACTATGCAAAAACAAAGGCCAAATATTCATAAAATTAATATTGCAATTTTGCAATTTAGCCACAGTATAATATTAATAATAATAATAACTGCTAAAGATCACAAGACAATAGATTAGAACCCAAAACATGAAAAAAAAAAAAAAAAAAAAAAAAAAAAAAAAAAAAAAAAAAAAAAACATAATAATTTGGAGGTTATGTGAAGGTTAAATAAAAAATATTTAAAATAAAATATGAAAAACAATAATAGGACAAAAGATGAATGAGACAAGGATGTTTAACCTCGCTTAGGTAACGTTTGTGAGAGCGAAGATTGTCGACATAAACTTCTTCTTCGGGGTCTCTGGTGCGTTTGCCACTAGGTGAAGAGGAAGATGGTGAGCCTCCCAGATTCGAATCGAAACCCATTGTTGGATCCAACAGCGAGAAATTTGTTAGGGAAAGGGATATTATTCAATGTTGTGATTTTTGAGTGAAAAGTTAAATAATTGGATTTACTCTTCCGTGTTCCGCCATGAACAAGCAGAAGAAAATGATTGAAGAGAGTAATGCGGGTTGATGTTGTTTATGATGGTGGACACGCACCTAGTGACGGACACGTGTTTTGTTGTTGGTCGTCATTAATTTATCCACGGTTTAAAATTTAGGTGCATTTGTTGAGTAGTGGTAGTATTACTATTTCGAACCTCCGGAATGGATTTGGTGACTTTCTCTATAGATGGCAATTGCAACTATTTTTAATGAAAATTTGTAAAAATTATTTATAAATCATTATTAAATTTGCATACATTTTAACATAAATATTTGTTTAATTCTTAATTAAATAATAAGATCTTGAAATTTTTAAATGTTTGTTAAAAATTTAAAATGATATAATAAATTATGATTAATTAATAATATTTTATCAGAAAAACAAATAAATGAGTACGGATACAAATGTTGGTGTATACAAGAATATAGAGTTTTTTCAAATTGCATAACTTTATCAATTGTCATCCCTAACTTTGTCACTCGGAATTTTGGATAACTTTACGAAATTTCTTGAAAGCTCCATCAGATATCATCCTTTGTCTTGAATCTTTGTTTACATAAATTTTTTTGGGAGTGATGTAGATACAATAAAATTAGTCGGGTTAGCTGGGATAAGATATATAAAGGTCTAGAGGTCGGGGATTTGGAAATAAGAATTTGAGAATTTTTAATTTGTTTTTATTGAGGAAGTGGTTGTGGCATCTCATAATTAATAAGAAAAGTCTTTAGAGTTAAATTTTAACCCGCAAATATGATAATCTTTTGGAATCCTAAGGGTGGATCTTAAATTAACCTATTTGTGGTGGAGAGATATTAACTTGGTGGAAAAGAGGTGTTTAGAATGTGAGCCTAAATTAGTTTCTCAATAAAATTAAGTAGTGGTTAGGGATGAGTGGAGGTGGCTAGATGGGGCTTCAAATCAATACTCGACGAATGAGGCTTATAATGTCATTTTGGATGGCTTTATGGGGTGATGATTTCAATTTAGTAAAAGAGTGTGGAGTAAAATTATTCATAAGAATGTGTCGGTGTTTGTTTGGATATTATGTGACAATAAACTAGTTATTAGAGATAATTTAGTCAAAAGGGGTGTTTTGGATGTAGGTGGAGCCTTGTGTCCTTTATGTTGTGTAGAGCTTGAATCTTTATCTCGTCTCTTTTTCTGTTGTTCTTTTTCTCACAAGGTTGGTACGTTATCTTTGATTAGCTTGGAACTATAGCAAATGTGTTAAATGAGGGCGGTTAAAAATTTCAAAGCTTCATGGATTTATTTGGAAGTTCAAAGAGGTCAGTAAAACTTATGTCTTGCATTTGGATGGCTGGTGTGTGGTCTATATCGAAATCAAGAAATTGTAAAGTGTTCCAAAACATGGATGTGGATTTAATCAAGGTTTCAGAAGATATTAAAATTGTGGCGTGGAAATGGCTTTGGCACAAATCATCGAATTTTCATTTCTCTTTATTATTAGATTTCTAATTTTTCTCAATGCTTAAATATATCTTAGTGTCAATAAAAAATGCAAAACATAGAGAAAAAAGAGGAACACAATCACAACATAAGAACATAACGTGGAAACTACAAAATCGGAGGGAAAAAAACCACGGTTGTTGTCAATAGTTAACCAGAGAATAACACAGTGAAAATTGTTATAACACATAATATACTTTCAACTACTCAGACCCACGGTACACTCACACCCTCAAAAACAAATATTTAACTATATCTCATAACACTCTAATACAAGAGTATAAGAGAATAAAAAAAGTCAAATACAAGCTTAAATTACTTTGAATCCTATATATAGCTTTGGACTCCCTCTTCCTTTACAAAACTAAGCGATTTCAAAGAACTTGTATCGTATATATAGCCTTAGACTCTATTCATTCACAAAACTGAGCAATGTGGGACTTCTTCAACGTATATATTTTCAACCAATCTCAACACTTAATGCTTAAATATATCTTAAGGGGGTCTTTTTGGTATCATTCTTTGTTGTTTTTGGGAGTTTTGCATTGTTTCTTCTGGTGTTTGGCAGTGATAAGTTGTTTTGAATCAAGGGCTCTATTATTTCTGTGTGTTTTTCAATGATCTTTTGCTGTCTCTTTGTAGTTGGTTATGCAAGATTTAATGGTTCTGGTAGCTGTGTTTTCTGTTTATAGTAGTGCAGGCATATTTTCTTCTAGTTGGTTAGCCAGTGTGGTTCTATTTTATTGGTGGTGCGGTGTTGTTCTGCGATTCCTTTCGGCAAAGGCAATTTTTTTATTTTTTGGCTAGCTCTTGTTATAATATTTATTTGTAGTAAGTGTTTGTAAGCATTATTTTTTGTGTTTATACCTTTTTCAATTTAGTCTAGGTTGTTTGGATTTTTTTGGTGTTTTTTTTTTCTGTTTAGGATTCAGGTTTGTAAGGCTTAGCATTGAAATGAATTTTGTTTTATTTGTTTTGTTTGTATCCTTTATATTGTACTCTTGTTTTTTTTTTTTTTGCATTCCTTGTGCTAAGTTGTTGGTTTTAATTCATTTTGATATTTCAAACAAAAAAAAAAAGAAAAGAAAAAAGTGATAAATTAATATTAAAAAGATGAGAGAGGAAGAGTGTACGAGAAAGATATTGACAAAGTCACTCTGACTTTGCCTCTATAAAGTCACTAAAACTAATTTTAAATATGGTTGGTTAATTTATTGTTAAATTGATTTTGTTGTAAAGTGACAATAACTTACGAATACAACTATGTTGTTCTAATTCTAATTTAATAGTTTTGTGTATCGAGTAGGACTTGAATTCATAATATCTTTCATTAAATAGAACGGGAAATTTTATCATTTCACTCAAGTCTTCTTAATTAACATAGGAAGGCGAATAAATAGTAAATTAGGCTTTATAATTTGTTAGGTCTATTTAGTTTATATATTTGAATGTACTTATTTTGTTTTTTTAGGGAGAAGTTTGACCTTCTCTATATTTTTTCTTCTTTTTCATTCTTTGATTTGAGTGATTTTTGGTCAATTTTCTTTTTTGAAAATATTGATTTGCATAATTTTTTTTTTAGTTTAAATAATTTATTTGACATTTCCTTGATTTTATTTGTTTTGGTGGAATGTTGTTTTATTCGACATTTTTGTTCTAAAATGAGACTTAAAGCTTAACTAAAATTCATAAAACAAAATAAATAATTTTTTTAACACCCTTTCATTCATATTTTTTATGATGTTACATATTCATAAGACATCACTTTTATAGGCTTTATACACTTAAAATTTAAGTAAGAAATCTTGGGTATTAAGTAAAGATATCACACGCCGGAGGCGGTTCATACATTTTGGTTCAAAGACATACTTTCTTAACAATTAAGAGTGAGAACATGTCATGATATTACTTACTACCTCCATCTCATAATAAGTGTCTTATTTAAACTCTGTGTAATTCTTAAGAAAATGATTAGATGTATTAATTTTAATGATAAAATTAGTATCTTTTACTAAAATACCCTTATTTATTAGTTAGTAGAGTAGTTGAAAAGCGTGAAAGTTAATAAATAGGGGTATAATAATGGGAAAAAAATAATAAATATTATATTGGGATTCCAAAGAGACAATTATTTTAAGATATAGAAAAAATGCAACTGAGAAACTTTTTATGAGACTGGGGGAGTAGTGATTAAGGAAAAGCCTAAATATCCAACTAATGTCTTCTAGTCACTTTTTCCAACCAAACTCAAAAAAACTTAATTCTTTTAAAAATTGTATTTTTTTATACTTGATTTAAGTCTTACATTGCCTCCCTTACATCAAACTCGCATCATTCCAAACATTTTCTTCAACTCGTAAAATAATTCAATCTCTTGAGGTTTTGTAAAAGTATATACAACATGTCCTTTAGTGAAATATTGCTCGATTACCACCTCTTTTTCAGCAACTAGTTCTTGGATCTTGTGAACCCAAATATCAAAATGCTTGGACCTTCCATAAAAAATGGATTTTTTCTTAGCGCAATGACATGTCGCAAGTTCACGGTTGTGCAAAGTAGTAAAAAATTATCGAACCATAAGAACCAATGGATTGAATACCGAATTCTATTCTATTGATGTATATCTTGAGAGATCAAATATTAGGGTTTTGTAAAAATTGCTTAAATAAAAAAACACTTATAAGAAAAGCAACTTAATTGAGAATCACTTAAATCACAATTGACACAAATATGACTTAGGATCGTGGTTCTTCCTCTGACACATCTATATGACCAAGATCACTTCTATTACGAAAGTTCAGACACAATATATAAAAAATAGATAAATATGGAGAACGCCTGCTTTCGTCGACGTGTTTCCCTATCGTTGATAGATCATACAAATAGTAATGAGACAATCCCCATTACCTTTAGTCTTTAATGGACTACTCACTCATGGTGAGGGTAAATGCAATCAAAATAGTATGTTAGAAGATAGGCTTCGATCTAGAGGGGGTGAATATATCAAAAAATTTACAACCAAAAACTTTTGACAAAAATCTGTTTTCAAAAAAAGGTGCAACGGAAAAACGACCCGATCAAATCGTCTAACCGAACCTACTATCAAAAAGCAATATACGTATCGGAAACCAAACAAATTAATAATGAACATAAATGTTCAACAATGATCAAGCTACGAATCAATTAAATGGGATGCTAATAGTAATTCGTATATCCAATGAACCAAAATGCAAACAAAATACACACAAACAATTTATCGGACACTTGATGTATGATCGATAACAATTGGAATTGTAGTTTGTTTTGTTGACGTTAAAACCTATCACAATCAAAGTGATTGTTATTATATTAACAACAACACCTTTAAAAGATAGTAGAAATAATTTCCAATCAAATTGATCAAACAACG